AAGGTCCACCAGGACCAACCCTGACTTGCCCTCCAAGACCAGCCCATCCAAAGCAGCGTCCAGCAACTTCAAGTGAGCATCAGTCCCAATTTGCTCGGTCTTCTTGGAGCCGGACACCAAACCATCCGGGTCTGTCTGCTTGGGCAGAGCCTCCGGATCCACATCTTCAGCATAGACCATGCTGTTTGCTGCAAGCTGTTCTGCAGGGGCAGTTCGGCCGTCTCGCACCAGCGCAGAGGCACGGAATGCCCAGTCTGTGTCTGTGTTGTTGAGGCCTTGGAGGATCCTGCCACGGTAGTTCAATGGCCTTGAATCCCGTGAGTCTTTTCTGGTCTGAAACTGCAAGACCAGGCCACGGTCAAGGTTGATGCCCTTCTGAGAGAGGAGTTGCACACAGCTGTACTCCTGCTCGAAGAGCAAACCTCGTTTGTAGGTGAATTCGGGGAGGAGGAGGATCCCGATGCTGGGGCTACCTCCGTTCAGGAGGATGCCCGCCAGCTCGCTCTGGCGGGCCTGGCTGCTGTCCTTGATTCGGCACACTGCCGCCCAGTTGAGGACTATGACATGGACCTCACTAGTGACGCTCTGTCAAGGCAAACCACATAAAACATAGAAGCTTAATAATTGCTGTCAGACTCAAATTTTGGCCCGTGTTAAGTGCTGGCGAAATTCCATGTTTTCCTTGAGCACACCATGTGATCGACAGAACTGTGCCTCCACCTGGCTGATTTCGCGCAGAACCTCATCAACTCGGAGGCTGTGCAGGATGGCCACGTTGGCACTCATGAAGGATGTGGCCGCCGTGTGGCTCACCTCCATCGCATGCTTGCGGTGCATGAGCTGCTGGTGGTATATGGTGCTCTCATGTGTGGCTGTCCGGGCTTTGAAGACACGGACACACTGCAAGTCGTACTCGATGCGCTTCTTCAACAGCTCAAAGGCCTCAGCCTCTAGGTTGGTGCGCTCCACAGTGTTAGACCCAGCAGTTGCACTTGGCAAGGGCATCTCAGCAGCGTGCGCTTCCAGCCTGAGTGGCCAGAAAATATTTGGCACTTGCCACCAAAAAACTGTTTCTACTTTTAGGGTTACCGGTAAGACTAAAATGACTCACTGATCAAGGGGCAGCTCGCGCAACTGCCTCACCCCTCGTGGTGTGAGCTGTGGATCCTTCTGGCCCAGAACACAGGTCACCTCCAATTGAACAGCATGATCACCTTGGACCCACGGGTCCAGCCATTCTGCTTGCAATTTTGCATCATCCAAAGGGCACTCATTCTGAGCCTCTCTGGCAATGGCTGTGACGAATGCTGCCTGCTCAGCCATGGTCTCCAGCTCAGCCTTGGACCACTTGCGCCGGGCCACTTCTGGCCGCAAAGTGAATGAAGCCACTGCGTGCTGCAAGCACAAAACACTGGAAGCTTCAGTGGTTTTCAGCCACTTGTTCCACTTCTGGCTGGCTTGGCTGCGAAACTGAAAGTTGGGAAGGAGCTTTTTGCTTCCCAAGCAGTCATCTGAGAAGCAGCACTGAGCCCAACCCAAGCTCTGGACATGGCTGATGACCGCCTGAAGGGCAGTGCTTGGCATTGAGGTCAGCAGGTTCCGCACAGCCACTGCCTTGGCTCCCAGAAGTTGGCCATGTTTCGGGTTGTCGCTGTTGTGCTTCCGGATGACTGACTCAATGTCAGATTCACCAGCTTTGACCAGGTTTTGCAGGCTCTGCACCCAGCAGACCACCGATGGCCCCTTGCGCAGTGACCCCTGCACACTCATCCGGAAGTTGTGGAGGATTTCGTCTCGCTTGGAGGAGTGTGACACACATTGCACATAGATGCTCTTCACACTGGCTGCCAGCAAGGGGTTGACCTGTGTGTGGCTCGGGTGTGGCTTCATTTGTTTCTGAATCACAACTGACCTGTGGCTCGTGTTAGATGCTCTTCACACTGGCTGCTGTCAAGGGTTGACCTGTGCTTCCAAAACTGACCCATGACTCACTGTTTAAAGAACCATTTCTTGACATCAATCCTGACCCAACCAGCCAGCCTCCTCCAGCTTCATGGAGCAGTCCCACACAAGCCGCAGAACTGCAAGCAGGCTGTGGAGCCTGGCCTTGCCCTTGATGAATCCCACACAATGCGGCTTCAAGCTGCCATCCTTCCACCATGGTGCTGGGCAGTTCCTCTCCCCCTCAGAGGCACATTTCAGAAGCTCTGCAGACTGAGTCACCAACAAGGGCTGCTCTGCTGATGTGAAGCCATGTTGCCAAATGGATTCGGCCAGCTGCATCACCAAGTTGTTGTCAGCATCTGGCTTGCTGCTGCACTCCAGTGCGTATGAAAACGCACCCAGAGGAAGGCGGAGTGTGTCTCTGGCCTGTGGGCCTGCGCTGGCTGGAGTGCTTGGCAAGGTTGCTTGCAAAGCATGAAAAGGCAGGTCTTCTCGGCCAAGGTCATGCAACCGCGCCAAGAAGTCTTTGGCTTCACCTGGCTCAGCATGCCGCTGTACCAAGTAGGTACCAACAGTTCCATACTTCTCCAGGATCTGCTGAAGCTTCTCCAAGATGGCTGTGCCATGTGGACGGCCCTCGTCCGGCTCGATGGACTCCACAAACGCACGTTCTTGAAGGCTGGAGCGTGGGCTTGTTGGGGCAGATGTCAAATCTGCTGCCTGCGCAGGTGGGTCGCATCCTTGCATAGTGCCAGCATCTGAGGCTGGCTCACTGGCAAGGTCTTGGCTAGCCATGCTGACTTGATCTCAAAATCTGTGGGTGGCCTTCCAACCGAACAACTGAAAGACAAAAACGCCGGATCGGGCACCATGCTAACAAATCGCCGGATGGGTGCCGGACCAGAAATTCGCCGGATCCAACCTCAGTTGGTTGCACCCAACAGCTGAGCTCCACAGCACAAAAATGTGAGGCAGACATCGCCTGGATAAAAATTTTTCCAGGAGATCTGGGGGAGGGAAGCTTGGTGGAGGCAGATGTGCCTCTCGGTTTCTGGAGACCTGGACATGGCCTGGACCTTGACCTGTGGGGGGGGGATGGGCTGGATAAAATTTTATCCAGGCGATCTCTGGGTCGCATCAAGCTGCGTGCCACTTCGGCAGTGGTGGTTGAGGTGCGGGCCGGGCTGCCTCCTGTACCTGGGAAACGAGCAAGTTGTGTCACCAATGCCAGTGATTGCAGCTGATCATATCTGACACAGTGTGAACAAACAATCATGATTGCGGTTGGCGGCTCTTGGTGTTTTATCTCTCTGCAGGCCGAATCTCTGAAGCACTCTATGTGCGTGCCACCAGTCTCCACGAAAGCACCACGGGCCACCAGCCCAGAGCTTCTTGCCCAGCCGTGCACCACGAAGTGCCAGATGCTGGTGGTCACATGTCATCCAGCTCCCTGCGGCAGCAAGCCACCAACGCAGCCACCATTGCCGGCGGGTAGATGGCCGCCAAGCGAGAGACACGTGCCCCGTCGACCGTGCCTTCGATGGTTTCATGCACCTCACCATTGCGGGCACACTGGCAAGTTTTGCCCCGGAACTCCGTGATCACACTCGGCATGTTGGTGAGGAAGGAGGTGTACTTTCTCATCAGCCTGCCACCAGGTCCCCGGAGCCCGTACCGACACTGCGCAAAGGTGATTCGCATTGCTCCGGGAACATTGTCGAGCACGTCCTGAACCACTGGCAGCTTCCAGGAGCTTGCCCCGGCCGGGTGCTCCATGCAAAACCGCCGGCCAGATTCAGCTTGCACCCGCGCCAGGTGCATGCAAAAGCTGATGTGGTCCTCGGCTTCGGCAGTGCGCATTTGCACCTCCAACGGGTCCATTCTCAGAGTGTTGCAATTCCGCTGCAGGATGCTGAACATAGTGCACTCCGGCGAGAGCATCAAAAGCCAGGGTGCATGCTCCCGAACCAGACGCACAGCATGTGCCTTGCTCTCCGGCAAATTTGCATCCCATCCGCACAGCTTGTCCAAGCTGATACTGGCTTGAAGACCTTGCCGGACAGCAACTGGCACCAGGCGGGGAGGACTGAACACCTCCATCAAAGCGTCACCAGTGTGCTTGCTCGTACGCCACAGGCCAGGTGGTTGTTTGCGGACCGGCATGAGGATGTCCTTGGAGCTGCCAGCCCCCTCATCTGAAGCAGCCTGGGGTGGTGGCAGTTCGATGGCCTGCAAGCCAGTTGCTGATGTTGCCGATGGAGGCAACTCCACTTGCCGAGTGTCAACCAAGGGCTCCAGCCAGGTGCTTTTGCGCCGGCGCGTGACTGGGGATGGCAAAGCGACAGAGTGGGAGGATTCATCACTGGCGAAGGCCATCAAGCGCCGAGCCTTTGCTGGCCTGGCTGGCTGGCTAGGTTCTGCAGCTCCTGCATCCAGGTCATCGTCCAAGGCTGGAGGCAATTGAAGTGCCATCCGAGGTTCCTTTGCTGGCCTGGCTGGCTGGCTAGGTTCTGCAGCTCCCGCATCCAGGTCATCATCCAAGGCTGGAGGCAATTCAAGTGCCATCCGAGGTTCCTAAACTGCTAAGTGTGACATGACTGGAGAGCCTGTCTCAAACCCAGCATGAATGTCGCAATTTGCGTCCTAGCCTGATCATGCTGTGTCACTCAGAATCCTGTGTCTCTGCCATCTACGGTTCCTTGCAACACTCCAGGCCAAAACTGCAAGTGTGATGAGTGGTGGAACTGTCTGACTCAGCATGACAATGTGCATTTTGTGCAATGTGCATCCTAGCCTGATCATTCTGTGTCGCTCATGATGCTGTGTCACTCCGTGTCACACGGTCTCTGAAAGCACTCTGTGTCAGTCTCCGAGCACCAGGCCAGCTGGTTGAAGTTGGTGGGCTCCAGTTTTTGGTGACCTGGGCCAAGCACAGTGCGATGCTGAACTGAATGAAATTGCATGGCTGAAAGTGCATTGCAATGGCTGGCACTGGGCGAAATCAAATTGACTCGGGTGTGATCAGCTTTTTTCACTTGCGCATTGCCAGCAGCCTGTCATGGCTCCGGCCGGTAGTTCTTGCATGTGCTGCAGCCACGTGCAAATCTGCACTTGCTGCACCCAAACTTAGGCTTGGCCTTTGCAGCTTGCGCTGCAACTGGCTTGGCCTTTGCCTTTGCAGATTGCACTGCAGCTGGCTTGGCCTTTGCAGACTGCTTAGGCTTGGCCTTTGCAGATTCCACTGAAACTGGCTCGGTGGCCTTGGCAGGCTGGGATTGCACACCCTTGGCTTGCGGTGGAGGCTGCTTTGCAGTCTCAGCGCTTGTCGGTGGCACCAAAGGTGGGCCAGCAGTCTCAGTGCTTGTAAGTGGCACTGAAGGTGGGCCAGCAGTCTCAGTGCTTGTCGGCGGCACTGAAGGTGCGGGTGGCTTGGCAATGGGTGGGGATACCTTGGCCTTGGCTTTGGGCACGGGGGCCTCATTGCCAGCTGGTCGTTTCATTGCTGGGGGCGCCTTTGGCTGGCCCTTGGGACGTCCTCTTGCTTTTGCACGAGGAGGGAGCTCGGCCTGCTGGACTGCCAACAGCTGCTCAACCTCTGGGTCAGAATCCTCCTGCTGTGCATTGTTGGGCCGCTTCTGGTTGGCCTTTGGCACCTTTGGTGCCACTGGGTGAACCTGAACTGCTTGCAGCCGGGGGCTGTCCGGGGCAAAGTCCTTCCACTCCTCCGACAGCTCACCTGTTAATGCGTCTGGTGCTGGCAAGGTTGGCCTCTTCTGATACAAAACCAGTGGCTCTGGAGCTGGCACCATCCGGTGCTCACTGCGGTGGCACAAGCCTCGGAGATAGTCACTGGCATCGGTCATGTGCCAAGGCGGCTTCTCCACAAACTTTGCAGTCCGCTCAAACTGCTGCCTCTGACTGTCAGTCATCTCATTGTTCGGCAGGGTATGTGGTGGACCATCAGCTGGCTGCACTGCTTTCACCTGCGCCTTGGGCACCAAAAGGATCGGGTTTTGGCTCAGGTGGCTCGATGACATCCAGTGCTTTGTAAGCAGGATCGCGTCTTGATCGTCCACCTCCGCTGCAGCTGGCGCTGTCACCGTCCACTTCTCGCTTCCGGCATGCTTCTGCAGGTCTCCTCGTCGCACCACCCGAAACACATGATTGACCGTGAGGCCCTCTTGGTACACCATTCCAGTCAACGACACGCCCATCGGCGACAGCCAGGACTGAAAGTTGAAGGAGGATGGCATGATCTCAGCGAAGATCTCCCGGCCCTTCGCCTGATGGTGCTCCGACTCAATCAGCCTCTTCAGCTCCTGAGGGGTCTGGATCACATTCGCCCGGTTCATGATGCTGGCCAGCATTGAAAACCGCTGATCCACTTCATTATGCGTGTGCCCCACACGATAGAAGCATAATGAAATGGATGCTGCTCGGGCAGATGCCACCATATGCCCAGCCCACAGTGCCAGCCATTGATTGCGACCCTCTCGTGGGGTATTGTCAGCCTGAATCACCCAGTGGCTTGGCAGGCACATATTGCGAGACTGCAGCAAGGTGGCCGCAATGTCAATGGCACGGCCTGAGTGGCTGATTGACTGGCTCTTGCCCCTAACTTTGTTCTTCCTAGCCAATGAAAAACTTAATGCGCCAACAACAGTCAAACCAAAACCCATGACTATCGCTGCCAGGCCACAAAGCACCGTGCATTGGCAATTTGAATCCTTTTTCTGGTCCAGATTCATCAGGAAGTAGCACTCGCAAACTCCATGAATCAAGACTAGGATGTTGTGGAGCGCCGGGCGATGCAAGGTTTCCCACACCTTCCCAGATTGCGCCTGCTTGTGGCGGGGCAGCTTGAACTTCGCCTGAGGGTGTGAAAGAACCAAATCACATGGTTTGGCACCAGGCAGTGTTTTGCACACACAAAAAAAACTTTGCCCCAACACGCCTGGTCCATTCCATCCAAGCATACATAGAGAGTTCGCTTGGAGTGGGGCAATGGGGAGCTCAATTGATTGGACTGCTCACTCTGCAGCGCCATCCTCCTCCCCAGGTCACGGTCGGCAAAAACTCCAGCCAAATGCTTGGTGTAAGCCTTCTGGATGCTCTCCTTCACTTCCTCAGACCTGGCCTTTGCCCTGTACTCTGAGTACAGGACACAGCTCTGACATCTTGCATGCTGAGCAGACTTTCGAATGCGAAGGATTCCAGCCCAGTGCTCACGCCAAAGCTTGTAGAACAATGTGGAGGAAGCAGGCTCTTGGCCTTGCGGCACAAAGCCCAAGCAGTACTGCTCGTACAGATCTGCAATGCGGCAATGTGGAAGCCAGCGCTGTTCCCGCTCATCCATGTCCTTGCTTGCTGCCACCACTGGGTTGCTGCCAGCCAGGATCCATTCAGCAGTGGGGACCACTGGCTGCTGAGCTTCCTGCTCAACCTTGGCCACCATGCTGGCATGCACTGTGTCGGGCTCCAGCTGATCTGTCAGAGTCTCTGCCAAAGGCTCAGCTATCATCCAGTAGCAAAAGTCGAAGAAGCTGTCCACTGATGACCTCTGTGGCTGGTCCCTCACTGTCCGACAGGTTCGGCCATCAGTTGGAGGCTGCAGGGCGCCACTCTCAATGGCAGTCATCAAGCGGCGCACATAGGCCTTGCTGACCCCTGTCAGAATCAAAAAAGCCTGGTGGCACACCTTCTGGCCGAGAAAGGTAAACTGCCGAACTGGCTGATAGTTGCCCTTCTCGGACAGCATCATCCTCCGCAGCAAGTCGAAGAAGAACACAGAGCGCTCTTCCCGTGTCTGCTTGGCAGTTAGATCATGGAACTGCTCAACTCGAGCTCGTGTTGCAGATGGAGTGAACATTTGCACACAGCCCTGGCTGCAGCATGAGCGTGACATCCACCTTGGTCACTGTGACTAATTCCTTGTGGTGCAATCTAATAGGTTAAAGGGTCAAAAGTGCTTAGCTCAATGCCCTTTTCGAAGAAAATGTTGCCAACCGCATTATGACAAGTAACTGGCAGTTCTCCAAATCACTGCCGTCTGACACATCCTCGGGCAAGTCCAGGCCAGCTGGTGCAGCTGCAGCACCTGCAGAAGTGCTGCCAGCACTGGCACTGCCACCAGATGTGAAGAGGCCACTGCCGGTGCCGAAGATGTCATCAATGCCACATCCCGGATCTTCAGGTGGCAGCTCTATGAGGTCTGCCATTGCATTTCAACCCCATCTGCTGAACCAAAACTTGAAGCACAAGCCGATTCTTTTGCAAAATGCAGTAAGTTGAAGCCCACAACATTTGAAGACCAAAACCATCAATCAAGCTTCGTAGCTTTGTACCACTCCCTGGTTCTCATCACTCCCAGTTTCCCTTGCAAACATTACACACCAGTTGCCAGACCTTTTTTCAGGCAGTCCGCCTACCCGTCAAAAGGCGGACAGCCGTGCAAATACCACAAAAACGCCAAACAGTGAGAATGACCCCCCCCCCCCCCCCGAGAACCACACAAGCACAAACAACAAGAATGAATCCCACTGAGAACCCCTCCCCCCGAGAACCACACAAGCACAAACAACGAGAACAAATCCCACTGAGAACCAGAACAAACAGGACACAAGCGACAAGAACCAACTAAAACAGCGGTGCGTGCCAATTTCAACACTAATACCACAAATACCACACAAACACAAACAACCAGAACAAATGAGAAACAATTGCAAATACCACAAACAACAAACAAGACCAGTTTACAACAAACACCATTGCCGTGTGTTCAAACACCAAGCAAACCAACACAACAAATCAAACGCCAACACAAACACCAAGACAGCCTTGCAATTACCACCCTGCCCGACAGTCATTGACACAGAAGCAGGGTTGGTGACAGTCAACTCAAGCCATTGCTGCAGGCTGGCTGAGGTCAGCGCTTGGCACCCAGAAAGCACAAGGCAGTGGCAGCAAGGCTGGCCTCAGGCAAATGCTTCTCAGTTTGACCGCCGCCTGATGTGTGAGGCCAGTGTGGAGTGAAGTGCCCAGCGCCGACTGAGGCGCCAGCACTTTTGGCGCAGAATGAGGCGCCCAGTGCCACCGGAAGTGCCTAGCGCCGAATCAGGCACCCAGCACCAAACCAGGTGTGTTCAACTCAGACACCGAATGAGGTGTCCAAGCACCGAGCGAGGTGCCTGGCTTGCTGTCAGTGTCCGTGACTAGTTCAGGCCAGACCTTTGCCAGGTTCATGGAGATGACCAGCAAACCAAGTGTTTAACAGCGCCATCATTTTATGACACCACTGCTTGGCTGCTAAATGCTTAGGGGCCCAGTGGGAGCACAGTACATCACTGTGGAAGTGACTGACTGTGCAACTGTTGGAACAAGAGCTTAGTGTTGAGTGTGCTTCCTGCAGCACCTTCTGCCTCATTCGGCAGGCCGCTCCTACATAAAGTGCTTCACCCAGCAGGCTGAGTGCTTCTTTCAGCACTGCACCAAATCAGAGGCGTTGCCTTGTTCGGCACCCACTGCCTACCCGGCTGGGCTGGAGTTTTTAAGTTGGGCATAGATGCCTCATTTGCAAGGCAGCTTGAAAGCAACTGCTTCATTCAGCAGAATGAGGAGGCTCACTTGCTCATACTTACAGCTGACACCGAGAAGGCAAGGCAATGGCACTGACTGGCTATCACAGTTCCATGACGGCCACCTGATGTGTCAGGCCAGTGCTGAGTGAAGCACCCAGCGCCGACTGAGGTGGCGCCGAATGAGGCCCAGCTGCCGGAGGTGCCTAGCGCCGAATCAGGCACCCAGCGCCGAACCAAGTGCGTTCAACTCAGAAGTGTGTTCAACTCAGACACCAATGAATGAGGTGTCCAAGCACCGAACGAGGTGCCTGGCTTGCCATCAGTGTCTGTGACTAGTCGAGGCAAGACCTCAGCCAGGTTCATGAAATAACCAGCTGCCAAGCGTTTGACAGCACCATCATTCTATGACACCGCTTTGGCTGCTAAATGCTTGGGAGCCCAGCGGGAGCACAGTACATCACTGTGGAACCTGCAGCACCTTCTGCCTCATTCGGCAGGCCGCTCCTACAAAAAGTGCTTCACCCAGCAGGCTATGCTTCTTTCAGCACTTCGTCCAACTTAAGGGGCATTGCCTCATTCGGCACCTGGGCTGCAGTTTTTAAGTTGGGCAGAGATGCAAGGCGCCTGGCAACAACTGCTTCACTCAGCAGACTGAGGGTGCCGTCATTCGAGCTCCACATGCACCAGGCTCAGGCAGGATGAGCAAGTTGCCTGCAGAGGCTCAAGAGTTGGTGACACTCAACTCAATACTGACCTGGAAAGCAAGGCAATGGCAGTGGCAGGTGACAGCCTGGTGCATGAGGCCAGTGCTGAGCGCAGCACCCAGTGCCGACTGAGGCACTGCCAGAGGTGCACCAAGCCTGCCAGCTCGCACCGAATGAGGTGCCAAGCACCGAACCAGGCACCTGGCTTGCTGTCAGTGGTCGAGGCAAGGCCTCAGCCAGGTTCATGGAGATGACAAGCAAACCAAGCGCTTGACCGCATCAATTTAATGACATGCTGCTAAATGCTTGGGGGCCCAGCGGGAGCACAGTACACCACTGTGGAGCTGATTGGAACAAGGTCTTGCTGAGTGCTGCAGCGCCTTCTGCCTCATTCGGCAGGCCGCTCCTTCACAGCCCAGTGCTGCCAGCAGGCTGAGTGCTTCTTTCAGCACTTCAGCCAACCAAGAGACATTGCCTCATTCGGCGCTCGCTGCCTCACTCGGCTGGAGTTGGCATGCTGGCAACAACTGCTTCATGCAGCAGGTTGAGGATGTGTTGCGGGAGTGCGGCGCCTCAGGTCCAGGCATGTGCACTCTGAGATGAGAAAGCTGCCTGCAGCAGGGGCAGAGGAAAGCTGACTGATGCACAAACTTGTGCCCTGGCTGCCTGCGCCTGGCCATCTCCAGTCTTCAGCTCCTTGGCAGCAGTGTGATGGCAAAAGATCATGTTGCAGAATGGCAGCAGTGTAATGTAAGTACGCAAATGCACTGCAAGAGCACATGCGAGCTGACACGCGCGTGTTTTTTCCATCTTGCCTTCAGGTTACTAGTTGCCCAAAAAGCAGCCAGCTCGTTGGTCACATTTGGTTGGCCCTGGTGTAAGTTTAACTCTTCATGAGCTATGAGCTGGCTGCCACGAGCTAGGTGAGTTGCCCTGGATCAGTGCGCGGCCACTACCATCCCCGGCTTTCCTGCATCAGGCAACTGTTAATCAATCTGTCAGTCAGTCACATGTTTTTTGTAATGCTGATTTGTATTGGGTTCAGTCCTCTCTTTGAGCCCCCTCGACGATCACGGCCAGGGCTGTCCTGACACCAGCAAAGCAGCCAGCTGCATCCAATCAGTCAGCAAGTCACTTGGTAGTCAGTCACTCGGATTAAGTCAGGTTGAGCAGTCAGTGGTCAACTCGGTGCCGAAGTGCCAGTCTTAAGCCAAGTACAAGAAATCGAAGTAATCAAGCCAATCCAATGCAAGCAATCAACGCCAATCAAGTTCAATCAAGTTAGATCAGTTGTTGATTTTAGAAGTGGTCAACCCTGCCTTGTCATCAGGATGGTGATCCGGCATGTCTTTTCGGTCTGAGGCCTGACCATGGCAATCAACAATGAGTGTCATGTTTGGTCAAACCTACTGCTGCTGCAAGACTGCTCTCACAGCCAGCCTGTCTCAGCTTCTTTTTCTTTTTGTCTTCTTTCGCTGCTTTCTGCTGTTTCTTCTGCTTCTGCTGCTTCTTGCTCTTCTTCTTGGTGCCGGGGTCCGATGGATCGGAGTCTGTGTCCTGCAAGCGGATGTTGACACACAATGAATTGACAGCTCAGAACTCAACACTTAATGCTAGCGTGCCGGTCTCCGCTTCTGACTTGATGGGTGGTCCCGCTGCTGCTGCTGTTGCTGCTGCTGCTGCTGCTGCTGCTTCTGGTCCCGCTTCTGCTTCTGCAGCTGCTGCTCGCACTGCCCGGGCTGTGCACCGCTGCCACATCGCCAGGTGGCTGCAGGCTCCGGTCGGCCATTTCTTGAGCACGGCTCATCATCGCCTCCTGGGCCCTTGATGAACTGCTCCTGCTGGGTCTGCAGCTGCTTGCGCTGTTCGCATTGCAGCTGAAGCATCATCTGGTCGTGCTGCTGCTGCTGCGCTGCTGCCTTTGCCGCCGCCATGTTGGCCTGGCTGATTGCCTTCTCCGCGACTCGGAGGTGGTACCGGCGCTGCCGGGCAGGGCCTGCGGGCCGGTACTCATGGCGGCGGTCGCTTGCTGCTGCTGCAGCTTTGGGGATGGGGGGCGTGAACGGCTGGTCGGAGCGCCGCGACATGGATGGGGGGGGTCTGGGGGCTGCCGGTTCCGGGGGCGGGCGGTGGTCAGGTGCAGGCATCCTTGGCACTGGCGGAGGTGCTGGCACCGTCATCATGGGTGGGCCCATCATCATGTTCGGGGGAGCTGCCGCCATGTTTGGCACTGACCACTGCTGCGGTGTGGTGATGAACGGCTGCGTGGGGGACATTGCACCTGGCCCCATCATCATCATGGGGTTCATCACGGGCGGTGGCGCCATGGGCATGGGCATCGCAGGCGGTGCAAGAAAGCCGGGGCAGCCGGCGGCAAGATACTGACTCATGAAGTCGGCTGGCCCCATGACTGGTGGCTGTGGCGGGAAGGGCTCCGGGGCTGGGGCAGCTGTGCCAGGCGCTGGGTCGTGACGTGCGCCTGCCTGCGGCGGGTGTGGGGCAGCATGCTGGTGGGCATCTGGCTGTGGCGGGTGTGGGGCAGCATGCTGGTGGGCATCTGGCTGTGGCGGGTGTGGGGCAGCATGCTGGCGGGCATCTGGCTGCGGCGGGTGTGGGGCAGCATGATGGCCACTTGTGGCAGGGACTGTCGTGGCGGTGGCTGGCGCTGGGCCTGGGTTGCGTGCGGCTGGCTGTGGTGGCAGTGGTGGCCGTTGTGCGGGCATCTTTGGTTGTGCGGGAGTCTTTGGTCGTGCTGCCAGATCCACTGACTTTGGAGGGCGCTGCTTTGGAGCTGGCTTGTGGCCGGGTGGTGGGCCGACAGGTGACTTGGGCCGCGCTGGTGCAGGTGCAGGGCTGTGTCCTTTCCCCCCTTTGCCGTCCTCAGTGTCAGAGGACTCAGTGTCGGGCTCCAAGACCGCGTAGGGGCTGCGTTTGCCCTTCCCGCCCTTTTGATTCCCTTTTCCTCCTTTCCTCCCTCCCATGGCTGAGACACTCCAGGTTGCTATGTGGCATGTGTGCTTTTTGAATCTCTGTCAGTCAGTGTGTATACACTTGGCGTCACAACTGAGTGGTGTTTGTTGTAGGGCCCATTGACTGCCCATCTTGAAGACTGTGCACCTACAGTTGTGAACCATTTTGCAATGTTGAACACCTCAAACTTTGCAAGTTATGATGTCCAAAAGATTCTTCATGTGTGAGCCACACTGTGCAGAAACAGTGAGTGTGCCAGCTTGCAGCAAACTCCAACTTCTTTGCAGCTGACACATGACCAGCATTGCATGTCCATCCGAGGCTCTGACTTCTGTGGTGTTGGTTCTGGAGGACAGGGATAGGGACAGCCTCGGAGCGGCTTTCAGCGCACCAGACCAAGGGAAGCAAAGCATGAAGCATGAATATGGGTTGGCGGCTTGCGACACCCTAAGTGCAATGGGTCCCTCAATGTTGGCCGTGAACATGTGCTGTCAGACACACTTAAAGTTGGAGGGACAAGATTGTTGAATATCAGCTGCAGCAAATCATGTTGAACATGCCGCTTCTCACAGCGCGAAGCACATGGCCTGCACTTCACGCAGTGCTCATGCTTAGGACCCAACTGATCGCCCGACACCGTGGACTAGGTCATTGTCTTTGGGAAGCTCCTTCAAATTTGTTGGCACCGAAAGCCTTGAACAACTGTCCCAGCCTGTGGCTAGAGTGCATCTGCCAAGCTGCCAGAGCCTCACTGGAAGACCTGGCGACACACCCGCTGCTCATCACAGAAAGTTTGTTGTAGGCTTCAAGATCTCAAAACTCAAACATCATGAAAACAAATTGAACCAGCCTGGCTGAAGAGTCTTGCAGGTTGATTTTTTTGAAGAAACCTTGACCCGTGTCATGATACTGCTTCCCACAGTGAGAAAGCACTTCGTGCAGTGCTTGTGGAACTAACCACTTGGCAGCGGGCAGCACTTCACACAGTGAGGATGCGGTGCTGAAGCTGATCGCCTGACATCATGAAGCAGAGGCTGTCCAGGAAGAAGCTCGAACAGCTGGCAGGTCAGTGGAGAAGCACCTCAAATCAGTCTCAGGTTTAAATTAGCACCTTGCCTTCCTGGAAGAGGCGTGTATGAGATTGAAGCAGGGCCCAACGGGGCTGACATTGCTCGTGTGGCATGCTGACACACGCGCTGCTCATCACAGAAACTTTGACACCAGTTAGTTGTAGGCCTCAAGATCTCAAGGCAAACATCACGAAAACAAACTGTGAAACTGAAGGGCTTTCAAAGTGTCGATATGCTGAACAAACCTAGAGCCACAACATGACATGTTGAAAATGCCGCCTCTCACGGCGGAAAGCACTTCACGCAGTGCTTGTGGAGAGAACCACTTTGCAGTGGACAGCACTTCGTACAGTGCTGATGCTATGATGCAGTGCTGATGCTGAGAACCAGGCTGATTGCCTGACATCATGAAGCAGAGAAGCTCGAAGAGCTGGCAGTTCAGGTCGAAGTGGGGGAAGCACCTGCAAGTTTGTTGTTGACAAGCATTAGGCCCAGTTGTTAATTTGGAGCCTTGCCTTCCTGGAAGGGGCATGTCCTTGCCAAAGCCTAGCTCAGACCCAAGCTGACAGAGCATTGCTCATCGCAAAAAGATTGAAACAAGTCGTAGGCTTCAAGATTCAAACATCATGAACAGATTGAACATGAAACTGAGACTAAATGTTGAGCACACCACTTCTCACAGCGGAAAGCACTTCATGCAGTGCTTGTGGCGGGCTAACCACTTTGCAGTGGACAGCGCTTCATGCAGCGCTGATGCCAAGAACCAGCACGAAACTGATCACCTCAGCCACGATGAAGTAGCCTAACCTAGCAAGCTGCAGCACATAGTCCAGCGCCAGGGCAATTATTCTGCAAGAGGCACATGAGGACCCGGCTGAAGCCGTGTAGCTCTAGGCCGAGAGTGTAGAGTGGGTGCACTTGCATCATTGACACAGAGCCTTGCTGACACGCCCACTCATCACAGAAAGCTCCAAACAAGGTGTAGGTATCTCAAAAAGCAAACATCATGAAAACCAAATGGCTTGAGTTTCAAAATATCTCAAAATTCAAACATCTTGGAAAGTAGATGGCTTGAACATGAAACTGAAGGGTCTCAAAGTGTCGATATGCTGAACAACCTGAACCACAACATGTGACATGTTGAACATGCCGCTTCTTACAGCGGAAAGCACTTCATGCAGTGCTTGTGGAGAAAACCACTTTGCAGTGGACAGCACTTCATACAGTGCTGATGCTGAGGACCAAGCTGATCGCCTGAGTCACGATGATGAAGTAGCCCAGGAAGTTGCAGAGCTGATAGTCCAGGTCACACTGGGAACAACTTCAAACCTGTTTCTGGAAATCTCAGCTTTTAATTAGCCCCTTGGTTTCCTTTAGGAGGTAGAGTGTACAGTGGGTGCATGACATGGACGACACAGAGCCCAGAGCCTCGCTGACATGCCCGCCGCTCATCACAGAAAATTTGAAACAAGTTGTAGGTTTCAAGAAATCTCAAAAATCAATCGTCAGGAAAACCAAATGGCTTGAGTTTCAAGATATCTCAAAATTCCAACATCTTGGAAAGTAGATGGCTTGAACATGAAACTGAAGGGGTCTCACAGGGTCGATATGCTGAACAACCTAGAGCCACAACATGTGATATGGTGAACATGCCGCTTCTTACAGCGGAAGCACTTCATGCAGTGCTTGTGGAGAAAACCACTTTGCAGTGGACAGCACTTCATACAGTGCTGATGCTGAGAACCAAGCTGATCGCCTGAGTCACGATGATGAAGTAGTCCAGCAAGTTGCAGGGCTGATAGTCCAGGTCACACTGGGAACAACTTCAAACCTGTTTCTGGAAATCTCAGCTTTTCATTAGCCCCTTGGTTTCCTTTAGGAGGAATGCACGTGGGCGCCCTGCTAGAGAATAACAACTCTAAGACTAAAGTGCACAGTGGGTATACTGCATTGACGACACAGAGCTCGCTGACATGCCCGCTGCTCATCACAGAAAGATTGAAACAAGTTGTTTTCAAGATGAATCAAAACTCAAGCACCATGAAAACCAAATGGATTCAAGATATCTCAAAATTCTCACCATGAAAACCAAATGGATTGTATCTCAAAATTCAATCATCTTGGAAAGTAGATGGATTGAACATGAAACTGACGGTCTCAACCTACAGCCACAACATGACATGTTGAACATGCCGCTTCTTACAGCGGAAAAGCACTTCATGCAGTGCTTGTGAGATAACCACTTTGCAGTGGACAGCACTTCATACAGTGCTGATGTCAAGGGCCAAACTCATCTTCTGAGTCACGATGAAGTTGAGGTTGCTCATGAAGAAGTTGCAAAGCAGTCAGCAGGTCACATTGAGGGAAACACCTTTAAACCTGTAAACCTGTTGGGTGCACTGCATTTAATCTGACGCCCTACCCCCCCCCCCCACAAGAAATTCCAGGATGCCAGGTCCAACTAAGTCTTAACCTGAAGAGCTTTTAGAGCACTTTTATAATTGCAGAAAGACCTTTTACAACAACAAAGGCTTTTATATACTTGTTCTGCCCAGAGAATCAGGTTCGCAAATTGAGTGGTGCGCCGTTTATCCGTTCAGGAGTTCCTGGGTTTGCGTGGAGGCTTTCGGCGTTGGATGCAAATTCGTTTTTTCATCCAGACGCTCGCGGCCTCTGAAAAAGCAACAGCTTCAGGGGGTTTGACCCAACAGAAAAAATGGGGGTTGAAAATTGGGGTTCGAAGGAGAACTTGGCCAAGGAAGCCCACCAATTTGTTGGCGTCCCCTTTCGAATTGATTGAAAGGGAAACCGCATCGGGGGAGGTCTCAGAAAAGTTTGTGTGGACCCATTTGGCTGTAGTACTTGCTTGAGTTAGCACCTTCTTCTGGGTTGGTTTCAGAGGACACCAAAGGAAAAGCGGCCAATTGTTTGGGAAGTCCTGAATGCACGAGAACCCCATTTTGGCCCTCTTTGGTAGCGGGCTTATGCCAAAGCCATATTTATTTCACTGGGTGTTCAATTCTTTTCATTTGAGAGGACTCCTTCAACAACTGCATCGAGACCTTGCTGCGGTACTGCAACCTTCGGCAGCGCCGGGTTCCCGTCCGGCTGACCGCAAGCCATGTCCTGATGGGGTGCATGGCAAGTGGTCCGTGAGAATCTCTGGATCCATTTGAAATGGGAACTAGGGAACTCACTCGAGTGCGCCCAGAGTCCGGACTCACGCATACTCAACTTAATACGATTTTCCAATAGGGGCTTCCTGGAACGATTCAGACCCTTCAGTTCAGAAACTGGGTTCCCCGATGCTCCCCGACTCCGTCAGAAACCTCGATTCTGATCCAACCACGGCCTCATTAGCCACCGAGTAGACACGAAAGCAGGCAGCTTTTCTTGTTGTGTCCGCTGCATCGTGAAGGGCACACGCCGAGGCTTGGCCAATCGGATGTTCCCTGGGGCCGGCCGGGTCCGCCAGCTGAGCAGCTGGCAGGAGAAGGCCCGAGTCCAGCCTCTGGTTCCCAGGGTACCCGACCAGGTTGATTCCGCCAGTCAACATCCACAGGACTAACATACACATTTATCCATATCAATGCGTTGATGTAGAATGTGTATGTATCTCTTTCTCTGTCTATGTGCGCATATATACAATATATATATATAGATAGATAGATAGATAGATAGATAGATAGATAGATAGATAGATAGATAGATAGATACATACACACCCTCAGCACGGGTCGTTCGCCGTCTCACATATTTACACGCTGACGCGACACAGCCGGCCACCGGGAACCCAGCCCGTCAGGCCCGTTCCTGCACTTCCAGTCCCTGCATGTCCTTTCACTTGAGCCCCATCCATGTTTCCCATCCATTTCCAAGCCATCTCCCATCTATTTTTCTCTTTTAGTTTATTGATTTTTTATTAGTTACCATCAATCATCCAATTGCCCATTCATCTTCCATCCATTTTCCACCAGTTCCATCCTTTCCATACATCATGCATCCATGCTCCATCAATGTTCCACCCACTTCCACAAGCTGCCATCCATCCATTTTCCAGGATTGTGCCATCCATGGTCCATGATTTTCCATCCATTTTCCATCACATCAACAGTCCATCCATTTTTTCATCCATGTTCCAGCCATGTCCCACAATTATTGCACCCATGTTGCGAAATGCTCCCCTTTGATGTCTCTCGTCCAGTCACTTCATTTTCCTACATTTGAAGTCTGTCATTTGTTTCATTGCCCTTCCGTCGCTTCATGTCATCTTGCTTAAAGTTGCCCATTTCCTTTCCGGCCATGAAAAAGAAGTCAAAGGACGCTCCAAGTAGCCCGCGGGGCGCTTTGAAGTTGTCTGCTTCTCCGGCCATGGAAGTTTGTTTAAAACGCCCCAGAGCGTAGCTCAAGCAGCGCCTGCCTACCCGACGCAGAGTCGGTTTGCGCATGTTTTAAGGTAAGCCGAGTGAAGCCAAGGGACGCCAGACGACATGAGTAGATTGGACAACCCGCAGCCGTTGACCTTGTGCTGCGCAGCGTGGCCATGCGTTTTGCCAGTTTTTCTTCCGGCGCGCCAGAGCGTAGCTCAGGGAGCGCCTGCGTATCCGACGCAGAGTCGGTTTCAATCGACTGAAGCAGAGGGAAGCCGAGTGAAGCCAAGGGAAGCCAAGGGAAGCCAGACAACACGAGCAGATTGAACAGTTGACGTCGCGCTGCGCAGCGTTCCTGTGCATTTGGCAAGCGCTGTGTTAGCGCGGCAGAGCATAGCTCCGGCAGCGCCTTTCTTTCCGACGCAGCGTCGGCTTTCCACAAGCAAGCGTGACTGCAGGACGGCGCAGAGCGTAGCTCAGCGCGAAAGACATGCCACACCTGCTGACCTGGCGCTGCAGAGCGTCGCCAGGCATTTTGCAAGCGCAGTTTGGCAGTTTGAAGGGAAGCCAAGTGATGTCAAGGGACGCCAGACGACATGAGCAGATTGAACAACCCACAGCTGTTGACCTTGTGCTGCACAGCGTGGCAATGCGTTTTGCCAGTTTTTTCTCTTGACCTTGCGCTGTACAGCACGGCCGTGCCTAGCCCAGGCAGTGTTGTCCTCGTGGCGCAAGCAACGTCAGGTTCACACACCAGAAAATGTTCGTTGCACAAGCAGCAACATGTTTCACACAGCAGCCACCAATAATGTTCATCGTGCTTGCAGCAACATGTTTCACGCGGCAGCTCGTGATGACGTTCGTCGCAGAAGCAGCAACAGTTCTCGCGCAGCAGCTTTCAAAAACATTCGTCGCATTAGCAGCAACATGTGTCACACAGAAGCTTCTGAAAACGTTAGTCGCGCAAGCAGCAACATGTTTCACGCAACAGCCACGTCGGACTAGCAGCAACATGTGTCACACAACAGCCAGCGAGAACATTCGTCGCACTAGCTGCGATGTTACAAGGGGCAAAAAATCAGTAACAGTAGGAAGCAAGGTCAACTTCAGTAACAAGCCTTTGGGTTGGCGCCAGGTAGTTGGAAACCAACTCTGTGGGCAAGCCAACCCTCGAACCGTTTCAGCCAAGCAAAGCGCCTCGAACAAACCTGTCGTCGAGGGTTGTTTCAATAGTCTGGTTTCACCTGAACGCGTTAGGAATTTTAAGGGCCTAAGATTTTCAAAGACTTGAAGATTTTCGGATGGATGCGCACTGGATGGAACACGCTTTTAAAATCTTAAAATCTTACATTTTCCAAGTCTTAAAATCATAAAATCTTGAAACCTTGCAGCCTGAAAATCGTGAAATCTTAGAATCTTGAAATTTTACAACTCTTCAATTCTTATTAAAATCTCAGGATCTTAAAACCTTAACATCTTAAATTCATGTTCCAGCAATGTTCCACAATCTTCCATCGATTTCTCCATCAATTGTCCAAGAATTGTCCGTTCCACGTATGCAGCTTCCAAGAACTTTCCAACTGAGTTTCCCAGCCAATTTCCACACTGTTTTCATCACACATGTTCCATTAATTTTGCATCCTCTTTCTCCGCCCTTTTCCAGTGTATTCCATCCATCCAATTTTCCATGAATTGTCCACCCGTTTTCCGTACATTTTCCACCATCCACATTTCCTTCACTTTCCCACATGTCCCTTGCCCCTTAGCAGGCTTTCCAGTCACTCCTGTTTTTTTGCATGTCCCCGTCGCTTTCTGCAATTGTCAGACCCTTCTTTCGCATCGCCAGCATGCAAAACATCATCCGCATCATTTGGAATGATGCTGGCAATGCTGGGGGTGTTGTCCAGTATTAGGCGGTCGTGTGTCTGTGTGTCTGTGTGTCTGTGTGTCTGTGTGTCTGTGTGTCTGTGTGTCTGTGTGTCTGTGTGTCTGTGTGTCTGTGTGTCTGTGTGTCTGTGTGTCTGTGTGTCTGTGTGTCTGTGTGTCTGTGTGTCTGTGTGTCTGTGTGTCTGTGTGTCTGTGTGTCTGTGTGTCTGTGTGTCTGTGTGTCTCCATCGAGAGCAACGCACGCCTCAACTCTCTGAACCAAGCCAACGGAGCCGCTCTCAAGCCATACAACGCTTTCTTCAACCTCAAGAACAAGCGCTCTCCTTGGTCCCCAACGCAACTCGCTGGTAGCACCACAGCCTGGGGCTCATCCAGAGTGGCATCCGTGGAGACATCAAGTCCCCAAAGAGACAACTTCAACCTCACTGCCAAGGCCAAAACCAACCGAAGGGACTCCAAGTTGCTGGTCGGCGCATAATGGCCTTCCTTCAACGAAGGCAGGCCTTGGTGACGAAAGTCTTTACAAACCAACCTTGACCTTGTCCGACCATCATGTTTCTTCACATGCACCCATCTGCTGCCAAGCACCTTCTTTCCAAGGCTCTGAGCCTCATGCTCAGCAACAAAATCACCAACCTGCAATCCCGTGAGCTGGCTGAATTCATTCCGCACCGACGCAAGCAGTGCCTCTGGCATTCGTCTGCAACGCCGTTTGAACGTTCGAAGGGCAGGCGGGGAGCAATCAGGCCACAAGCGGGACAAGCCTCATGAATATCTGTCAGAGATTGTGTACCTGGGGCCTTGGGCTACAGGAGGAGGCGGGGTCCTTGGTTGGTCGTTTGAGATGTGCGAAGTGAGGAGGTATCAGGTTGCCAAAGTTGCGTCCCCGTTGGAGTGGACTTTGGCACATGTTGAGGGCTTGTTGCAGCCGAATCCTCCAAAGGTCAGTCCTGAGGAGCTAGGCCCTCCTGTTGTATGGATTCGGGAACATGGAGTGACAGATGGGTGTGTTGCTTGCAAGCAAGTGAAAGAGAAGGGCACTGCTCACTCAAGAGTGCATTCTAAGGCTTGCAGGGACAGATACTGGCAGTGGTTGACAGATGAAATGAATGCCAGGAAAAGGAAGCTTGAACAGGATGGTGCGCCTATGGAGGTGATGCCAGATGTTGCAATGCCTTCCTTGCCGGTTCCTCCAGTGATTCCTCAGAGTGCTGGGCCAAGCCAGCCAGCTCCTGTGAGCTCAGGTGACCCAGGAGGAGAGATGGACGTTTCCTCAGATGCGGGAGACAGCATGGATGTGAGTGCGTTTGAGGATGTTGAGACTGTCTTGTTAGAAGACATGATTCGGAAGGAAACAAACCAGTTTCTGAAGAAGCTGGAGCAGTCGACCCGTGGTGGGTCTTGGCATGAATGTGAGTTGAATGGGAGAAGGATCTGGCAGCAGCTTCCAGAGAATCGGAAGTGGGTGAGCGTGCGTGCGTGCGTGCGTGCGTGCGTGGGCGGGTGGGTGGGTGGGTGGGTGGCTGGGTGGGTGGGTGGGTGGGTGGGTGCAGACACGCAGACACGCACACACGCAGACACGCAGACACGCAGACACGCAGACACGCAGACACGCAGACACGCAGACACGCAGACACCCAGACACCCAGACACCCAGACACCCAGACACCCAGACACCCAGACACCCAGACACCCAGACACCCAGACACCCAGACACCCAGACACCCAGACACAGGGGCGCGCGCGCGCACGCACGCATGCACGCACGCATGCACGCAAGCGCGCACGCAAGCACGCACGCATGCGCGCACGCACGCACGCGCGCAGGCCCGCGCGCCTGCGCGCACACGCACGCACGCCTGGGCCAGTTGCCACGCAAAACGCATGTCAAAACCAAACGGTTTCCTCGGTTGTGTTTTTCCAGTTTTTCAAGGCTGCAGCAGGACGCTGTGTGTGAAGGCAGCTCCCAGCAACATTCCCAGCATCACCAGCATCACCGGCATCACCGGGGCAAGACCGCAGACTTGCAAGCCCAAGGCTGCAGACCCAAAAACAAGCCCAAAAACGCACCCGCCAGAAGCAGATGATGCAGGTGATGCTCATCACTTTCCTTTTCACGCAATATCGGCATGCGCAGGGTCGGCGGCACACTGCGGCAGCCCCATAGAGCTTCGCTCTAGAGCCTTGCTCCAAAGGACCAAGGGGGTAATCTGACACAGCCGTTCGGCCCGCTTCGCAGGCCGTCTACGGCTTTAAGATTTTAAGGCTTCCAGGGTTTAAGGTTGTAATTCTAAGTTTCAAGTTTTTAAGATGTTAACATTTAAAGATCTTACAATTTTAAGATCTTAAGATTCGACTATGTTCAGTTCCTGCAGGTTTGCAGCTTTTTAGATTGTAAGAAATTAAGCTTTTAAGATTTTAAGATTGTACTAGTTTATGGTTTTTTTGCGAGGTTAAGCGCTTAAGATTCTAAAATTTGAGGATTTGAAGATTTTACGATTAACGTGTTCTAAGATTGCAAAATTGTAAGATTTTTTGATTCTATTATTCCCCAGCATCCCCAGCATCCCCAGCATCATCTGCATCACCGGCATGGGCCTGCAGACCCGCAAGCCCAAGCCTGAAGATCAAAAGCCGGCCCCAAACATGCCAGAAAGCGCACCCCCAGAAACAGCGCAAAAATCCGCGGAATTCTCGCCCAGACACGCCCGCCAATCCTTCGCCCCTTAGTAGGGCGGGCGCAGCGCGAAATTCAATCTTTGCAGGGCCTCCGCCAGCATCCTCGGCATCGCTCTAGAGCCTTGCTCTAAAGGACCAAGGTGGGTAATCTGACAGAGCCGTTCGGCCAGTTGGCCGCGGCCGGATTTAAGGGCCTACGCCTGACAGCCGGGCGCCACTAAAAGCATGAGTTGTCCACGTTGTTTCCGCGTCCTTGAATCCATACAAAACCATCAAAAACACGTGCTTGTTTCTACTTGTTCACCAAAAACCCTGCCAGAAATCGGGCTCGGCCGGGGAGAGCCTGCCTGCTAAGCAGGTTTCCGCATTTTCCACGTTTGCGCGCGGATTTGAATCCATACAAAACTAACGAAAACACTGTGTTTTTTCTGCGGTTCACCGAAAATCCTACCAAAAATCGAGTTCGGCCGGGACCGTTGAAGCAACATCCTCAGCATCCCCCGCATCACCGGCATTATCTGCATCAATGTCCGCCATGGATGCGGACGATGCAGGTGACATGCTCAACAAGTCGTCAAAAATCGCCTGAACAAATGCACAAATCCCTCGCCCCGTAGCAGTGAATCCTTCGCCCCTTAGCAGTGAAGGCGCAGCCTCCGTTCGACACGGAGTGAACCGGAATCGACCGGGAGTGAACCGGGAGTGAACCGGGAGTGAACCGGAATCGACCGGGGGGGGTCGGCGGCAGGGGGTGCCGTATCAGGGAACCGAAGGCCTCCGGCGAAAGCATGGGAAAACACAGAGTCTGCCAGCAAGTTTGCAGCATCCTTCCAGAAACGAAACTAAAAACATGAATTTTCCACGTGTTTTCATGGTTTTCAACAACGCATCCTTGAATCCATACAAAACCATCAAAAACACGTGGTTTTTTTTTACTTGTTCACCAAAAACCCTGCCGGGAGAGTTGAGCCCTGCCTGCCTGCTAAGCAAGTTTCCACATTTTCCACGTTTGCGCCCGGCCTTGAATCCATACAAAACTATCGAAAACACGTGGTTTTTCTCCTTGTTCACCAAAAACCCTGCCAGAAATCGAGTTCGGCCGGGACCGTTGAGCCTGCCTGCTAAGCAGGTTTCCATATTTTCCACGTTTGCGCCCGCGAAAAAACTTCAAAAACACGGTTTTGCACGTTTTCGGCAAAATTTGCCCGACTTAGGGGACAACATCCCCAGCATCCCCCGCATCACCGGCATTATCCGCATCAATGTCCGCCATGGATGCGGACGATGCAGGTGATATGCTCAACAAGTCGTCAACAATCGCCTGAACAAATGCACAAATCCTTCGCCCCTTAGCAGTGAAGGCGCAGCCTCCGTGGCTGTAAGAAGCGTCAATTGGCCGCGGGGGAGGGCCTTGCCTGGGAGAGGGAAGCATTAACAGGTTCGTGTTTTGCTCCGGGAAGCAAGCCCTGAGGCGCGGCCTGAAGGGTCCGGGAGTCGTTGCTTTGGGACTTGCCTGATGATACTTATCATGACAGTCGTCATCTTTATCATCATTATCCAAGACAGCATTGGTGATGCAGAGGATACGTCGTCACGATTATCGTCATAACTGCTGGTGATGCTGAGGATGCGTCACCATGATTATCATCAGAGTGGCAATGCAAAAGATGCGTGGACATGATTATCATGATGAATGCTGGTGATGCTGATGATGGTTCTCATCCGATCCCCAGACCCCGGATTTCGGGAAAATCCGGGAGCAACCTGCTGGAACCTAGTTTCCAAGCACTATTTGCCTTGGTGATGTAGAGGATACGTCGTCACCATTGTCATCCTGACTGCTGGTGATGCTGAGTATGCGTCATCATGATTATCATCCGAGTGGAAATGCTGGTGATGCTGAGGATGCGTCATGATGATTATCATCCGATCCCAGACCGCGGATTTCGGGAAAATCCGGGGGCTGGCCGTGTCCTTGGCTCCGGATTCCGGGAAAATCCGGGAGTCCAAGCACTATTCCGGATTCCTACAACATCCGGGGGGCGGCCATCACCTCAAACCCCGGATTTTGGGAAAATCCGGGAGCAACCTGCTGGAACCTACTTTCCAAGCACTAGGACTATTTGCCGCCTGCCGGATTTCGGGAAATCCGGGAGCAACCTGCTGGAACCTAGTTTCCAAGCACTATTTGCCTTGGTGATGTAGAGGATACGTCGTCACGATGGTGATGCTGAGGATGCGTCATCATGATTATCATCCGAGTGGCAATGCAAAAGATGCGTGGACATGGTTATCATGATGAATGCTGGTGATGCTGAGGATGCGTCATGATGATTCTCATCCGATCCCCACCAATGCTGCCGATGACTGTCACGATAACCATCATCGTAGCATCCTCGGCATTACCAATGCTGCCGATGACTCTCATGATAAGTATCGCCACAGCATCTCTGCATTACGAATGCATTTAAAATGTCTAGAAGAAAGAGACGATGATGACAATCGTGATAATGATGCTGATGCTGATGATGATGCTGGTCATGTTTATGTGCCAACCACCCTTCCCGTGCGCCTCCCCTTTTTAGAGAAAGGGTCGGCGGATATATATATATATATATGTATATATATACACATGTACATGTATATATATATACACAAACATACATACATACATACATACATACATACATACATACATACATACAATATATATATATACACATACTATATATATATATGTATATACACTGTATGTATACATGCATATATGTATATTTGAGAGTTTCGTTCTGTCCAGATCTGCTTAGTGTCATTGTTTCTTTTTTCCCTCAACCTGGCGCTTCTGTCCCAGAGTGTGCGCTTCCCGCAGAGCGTCCAAGCTGCATGGGACTCTGGTTTTTGCTCCCACACGCGCGGACGCCGAATCGCCCTATGTTTGCAACGTTTCAGCTCGGAGAAGCCTTCTCCTTGCCTAAGATGGGGGTGTCGACCGTTTTAGTCTACGGACTAGAGTCCACTTTGGGAGCGCGGCAAATCGCTTTCTTGCTTAAGACAAAAAACAACTTCGATTTCGACACCGCCCCAACGACGTGGGAAAGCTCGAGTTTGGAAACCGCAACATCTCCTTGGGGGAAAACACACACACACATCCTTACTGAAGCACACTGGTGAGGCCAGGGATGTCAACCAATTTAGGTGCGGACAGGTGGTGCTGCTGGTGGTGTTGACACAAGTTGTTTACGGACACCTGTGCTATACCTGTCGCTTTGTTATACGTCAGGTTCCTTTTCTTCCCCTTCCGCCTTAGATCTTTACTATGCGCTTTGGGTAGATTTCTTTGCACTCTGGCAAAGACCAAAGAGGTGAAACAAGTTGTATGGCCATACTGGTCTTTGCAAGGACCCCTGAGTGATTCTTTTCGTGAAACACCTAGCCCCGCCCCCTTAGGGGGGTGAAGGGGTCCTCAGATGTATCCTTAGTTTTTTTTCATTGCTTGTGTGCGATGTGTCCCATGATCTGGAACCCTCGCGTGGGTAATTGGAAGTCAACATGGCATCATTCCCGGCCCTTTGACGTGGTCAGCCGCTTTTGGATGCAATGGGGTGCATCCTTTTGATACCAGCTGTTGCTTATGACTCAACTATGACTCAACTGAGCAGTGCGCAAGTTCCTGGCAAAGGGTTCTTTGCCTTGGTTTGGTAAGGGTTAAAGTGCGGGTGATGTCTAAGGAGTATGTTTCATTTGGATTTCCAACGATGTCCGTATCATAAGCATTACATGGCATGGCTGTCGTATGATCTTCTTTCTATTAGTACTGTTTTGCTTGTTTGGAGGAATTGGACAATATTGTGTACAAGTGGTGTATCCTAGAGTCATTTTTTCCGTATCATAACTATTTTACTTTCACATCTTTACCTATAATCCATTCTTTTAGCAGTATTAATCTCTGGTATATCTTCATGTCTTACATCTCTTAACTTTTGTAAATCTGAGATCTTGTTATTTTATGTTGAAGACTTGCAGGCTATCTCATTACTTCCTTTCTCTTTCTTGATTACAGCTTTCACGCTTTTAAGAACATTCGTAGCCAATGGCTTGAGGAGCATCGCGGAATCGCAACTTCTCGAAGGGTGGGTTTTCAGCATGAAGTTTCTGTCCCGGTTTTCCCTACAGGGGATGGAGGAAATTCTGTACCACCTAAGAAAGCCTGGAATGGTGATTCCCTTGTAAATACCAACAAACTGGTTTGGCACGAACGGATTTCGTCCATGCACAGCACGACTCAGCTGGCGGCAACGA